GTTTACAAATGGCACTCAGGCCGTGTGCAAGTCAAATGCACTCATGCACACCCAGATGTGCGCTCATGCACACCCAGACATGCGCACATGCAATCGCATGTGCTGACGCGCGCACGCGCGCACGCATACACACACACACACACATACACATACACACACTCTCTCCCTCTCTCTATAGCTCTCTCTCTCCCCCCCTCTCTCTCTCTCTCGCACACGCACACACAAACACACACACTCACTTGCACATGCACATGCACGCGCACACCACACACACATGCACGCACGTGTGCACGCACATACACAAACACACACACTCAAATATACCCACACCCACACGCACACGCACACACACACAACTACTCAAAAATACCCACCGTGCACACACCCACACCCACACCCACACGCGCCCCTGCGTGTGCCGCCGTCCCCCCACCGTCCAGGTGACGATGGACAGCTGCATCACGTAGCCCACAGCCGCCAGCTGCACCTCAGCATCACAGGGCAGCAGGCCAGCCAGGAACACCAGCGTCTCCCTGAGGCGATTGACGGTTGGTGAGGTTGCAGTGGCTTTGTGAGCTTGTATCGGGTATCTGCACTATGTGCGCGCGCGTGTGTGTGTGTTTGTGTGTGTGTGTGTGTGAGAGAGAGAGAGAGAGTGTGTGTGTGTGTGTGTGTCATGTGCTGTGTGTGTGAGAGGCAGCGAGGGCTTTGAAGTTGGCGAGCCGCAAGGGGCGCTTGAGTCAAACAGGTTTGTGGTGTAATGAATAAAATAAATTTGTCCAAGGGGATCCATTGGGCGCCGGTGCCACAGGGGCGAACGCTGGTGGGCCGAATGACTGCCACACTCACCAGATCCACCTTGAAGAGAACAGTCAAGATTGGAGAGGTTGAGCCATCCGGAGAGGTTCAAGGACAAAAGGGGGCAGGCAAGGGTTGGCGGAGAGCCGCGGGTAATGGCGTCGTCCAGGGCGGGTGGCCGCAGTGGCGGGTATTCTGACGGTTCAAGGGCGGGGCGTGCGGCATGCAGACCACCGCCCTCTGGGACTTCGGCTGCGGCACCGAGCACCAGCCAGCGCAGCGTGGGCCCATCCTGCAGCTCACCACTCCAGGCACACCATGCAGGCGGCCTGAGGACGTGTGCAGGGGCGTTTGTGAGGAGCAGGATTGGTCAGGGTCGCGACGACACGCACCTGCCCCTGAGCCTTCCAGTGCATGGCGAAATGCGCGTGCACCACGCTAGACATCCAAGCCCAGCAGCACCACAACACCGCATCGGCACCCGTTCGCACGGCACTTGGCTACACCTTTCGCAACTGTGGCGCCACAACGACCAAACAGCCCGGCCATGATCCCACCCTACCGGCACAGCAAAGCGTGTGTAGCTGGGCAGACCCTTTAGAGACTCCAGGGTGAAACCATGCCAGGTGGCCCGGTCAGGGTCACTCCTGGACACCCTTCGGTCGCGGATGACGCGCCATGACGTCACAAACGTTGCCGCCAGCAGCTGCAATGCCACCTGTGCCGCAGCAACGCCCCTCAGCCAGCCCAGCCTGCGCCGGGGGCGGGGGCGGAGGGGGTGCCGTGCCGCCTAGGCTCAAGCCACCACCCTGCAATCGAACCAGCACTCTGCACTTGCTAAAGGCTCCAATGGCCTGAAACACCTTGCTTTTGCCGACACGAAGCAGGTGATCGCCTGCTGGCACGACTACTGTGCGCCGCTGGCCCCTGTCTTGAAGGGACTGTGCATGTCCCGCAGTGTGCAATTGCAACCCGCTCATGTATTCTTTGGCCGCAGTAGGGTCAACCACTTGCCCCTCCCGGCTCCGCCTCACATCGATCAGACCCCCCGCGTGTCCTCACCACTGCACCAGCAGCCAGAACGCCGGCGCCGCCGCGGCCAGCTGCAGCAGGCCGGTCACCGACGCGGGTGCTGCCACTCCTTGGGCAAGAAGGTCTGAAGGCCGAATGAGGGGGGCAGGGGGCGGGGGGGTCGGCGATGAAGCGCGTCAGGTTAGGTCACATGAAAGGGGTTTTGGGGGCGAGGGGCATGCGGATAGATGGGGCCGGCAGGGGCTGGCTGCAAAGTGCGGGTCACATGGACATGGCGGCCCCTGTTGCCGCCAGGGCTGGCTCGCCACTTTTCCCGCCGCAGGCTAGTGTGCTGTGGCGGGG